GCAGCTCAGACTCATAGTGATCCTCCTGTCTCAGCCTCCCCAGCTCTGAGATTAGAGGCGTGTGGCACCACACCCAGTTCCTGGGCCAGCAGGGCATGTGGTACCAGGGATTAAACCCTGTGCTTGCCAGGCAGGAACTTAGACTGCTGAGCTATCTCCCCAGCTCCTTGAATATTTTTCTATGTACATTATTTTCTTTCTTCTATTTCTCACATACAACTTGAAGATCATAGTCAAGAAAGAGCACAGTGTTTGGGTTTTAGCAAACTCGTATCTATATCTCAGCTCTGCCATTTGCAAGTCATGAGAAATTAGATTTTTATATCAATTCTTTAAAGATTCAGGTTATCGCCTACTTCACAGAGCCTGTGAAGTAGGAAAGAACAATCTGGGAGTTATACAGTCATAATTAAGTGTGGTCATGCCTATGAAGTGCCCTACCCTTGGCCATGATGATTGGTGGGCATCAAAATATTTTAGTTGTCTTTTCCTCAGTGGTCTGTCCCCAAATATCCACAGCCCATCTTTGGGGAGGGTACTTTCCTTAACAAGGGACTGAGTTTCAAATGATGGTTGGTGTGGTATGCAAAATTATAGTAACCCAGATGGCACGTGCAGGAACACAGTTGCCACTGAAATAGGCTGGCTAACCAGAAAAGTCCCTCCTGTCCTAGTGAGAAGGTTCCTTTGAGGTTGGCTCTTTAGGGTTTTTTTTTTTTCCATAATTTTGTTGAGAAATAAACAGCAATGATACAGTTTCAAATCGAATTGGTAGGAAAGTTCCAATAATTAACACATTGCATACTGCCTTCCTAGTTGTTATTTGTTGTAAAAGATGCAGACATAATATCCTATTTACAAACACTATTAGAGCAAATGCCTCTATTCCTTGAATTAAGAGAATGTAGCTATATATCTATCCTAACCATTTTGAATACACAGATACAAAATGGTCATTCATCTATATCTCCTTTTTTGTTTAATTCCATCATTTAAATATTATAGTTGTGTGAACTCAGCAAAATATTCCAAAATAGTTCAGTAGTCCATAATAGTATTGGATCTTCCACTTGACTGGCAAAGTCAGAAGTTGTTGACCTGAGTCCCCTACAGCTCAACATAACAACATGGCTTTATTTCTTGTACTTCGTTTTTATATTTTTCTGTTGGATGATTAAGACCAAGATTAAGTAAGACCTATGTAACAAGAGTTGTAGCTTTTGGATCTGATAAGGTCAGTGAAATCCCCTCAGGATTTATCGTGAGACCCTGTACCTCAGATTGTAGATCCTTTGTCAGTGTCAGCCATGGGGATGAGTCACGGCCATTGCTTGGCCAACTTGCTGTATGTGAAAGCCTGAGAGAAAGACTTTCTTTGCTTTCTGTGAAAGCCTTTCTCTCCATGTGACTCTCTTTAGGCACACTCTACATCATTGATCACTTTCCTCTTTGGCCCCATAATCTCCTTGATCAGGTAAAAGCCATTTATGAAAACCCAACAGCTAACATAATTCTAAATGGGGGAAAATTGAAATCTTTTAATCTTAGATCTGGTAGAAGACAAGGATATCCTCTGTCACCACTCCTATTCAATATAGTTCTGGAATCTTTAGCTAGAGCCATTAGACAAGAGAGAGAAATAAAAGGCTCTTTAGTAAGAACAGGTTTTCAGCTCCATGTGTCAGCTGTGACCTCCTCTTTGACCCTTTCCACTGACAGCAGGCTTCCTGCTGACAGCAACCAGGCTACTGGCTATCTGTGTGGGCAGATTAACCAAAGAAAAGCTTGGCTTATTTAGATGTTTAAATGTTCCAATAATTTTCCTATAGCATTTTACTTACTTTCTAGCAATTTGAAAGAAAGACATCTTTTTTTGGTGTATGATTTTGCTGCTGTTATACCCCAAGTCATCGATAACAGCTGGTACTACTACAATGCCTAATACAGAATGCAAAAGAGCTTTGTACAGATGGGCTCAGTGAGCCTTCTTAACAGCCAAATCAAGTAGATACTACTATTATTTGAGTTTCATAGATGAAGAAACTGAGGCAGAGGGAAATAAGCTAGTACACAGCAAAGCTAAGAGTTGAATGCAGGCAGGGAAGTACACAAAGCTATGCCTTTCATCACTACATAATTCTGTTATTCTGCTAAAGACTCTGCCTACTTTGGAATATCTATGAAATATCTATTAAGATGTAGAATGTAAATAATATTCTAGCTATTTTTTTCTTAGCACCTACTTAGAGAACAATTTACATGCCCATGAGGCACGTGCCAGGTTGTTTACTGAGACATGCTTGTCAGTCTGTGAAACTCCAGATGAGCTGTATAACATCATCGGCATCAGGGCGGGCGGGTGGAGCACACTGTGGCTATATAATGGGGGCCTGATGTTGCCTAGAAGTTGTTGACAAAAGGACAGAGCCCTTTAGAAACTGGATTAATATTGAAAAATTCACAAAATTCACACAGTGAAAAAAACTGATTGCAAGGGAAGTATATACAACTTAATGCCATATGTACAAAAATATATATGTGTATATATTACATGTGACTATATATGTAACACATAGAGAAGTGCTTCAAAGGATACCAAATCCTTCCTTCCTGGGCAAGTATACTGAGATGAAAGGATGGTGCTCTGGGGAAACAATATATGTGTTTTCAAGAATATGGATATATCCATTTAGTCCACTTTATTTTTTCCCTCAGAACCAGAGATTGAACTCATACCCTTGCGCTTGCCAGGGAAGCGCTTATTCTACTGAGCCATCCCCCCCACCCCAGGCCCTCGATATACCCATTTAGAATCTGTATAATTAATTATAATTAGAAGCATATACATTTTATTAAAACTAAGAAACTTACCTTGGACTGTATAGTCAAAAGAGAGAGGCCAGGTTAGGTGGTGCACAGCTGTAATCCCAGCACTCAGGAGGCTGAGGCAGGAGGATCACTGCTAGTTTGAGGTCAGTCTGGGCCACAAAATGAGTTCAAGCCCAGCCAGAATGGCATAGCAAACCCTGTCTCAAAAAGACAAAAAATTTAAATAAATAAGTGAAGGAAAGAGAGAGAGAGAGAAAGAGAAAGCCTTTCTAGTTCCACATCACCTTTTTGAGCTATCTGTGAAGCCTGCTGTGATCACCTGGGGAAATACCAATGATGCCCTATTGATTCTTCATCTCTGGTACAGAACGATAAATCTGTCTTCAAGCATTCTCAGCCCTTCAGAAGCCAGGAAACATGAAACACAGCCTGATTTAACTGTCTCTTTCCTTTCCAGAGTACAGTCAGTGTCTCAGGCTGAGAGGTATATGATTCAAATGACTATGAGAGTGAAGCGGTGTGTGTGGGTCAGAATTTTCACGTGAGACAGCACTGTCCATAAGCTGTCACCTAGGGAAGGGTCACAGATGACACACGGGGTCCTCACTCTCAGCCCAGTTCTCGGTGTCATGCAGTGCCCTTCCTTTCTTGGTCAACCACAGCAGTGGTCCTGAGATGGGGGTGTGGTGGGCAGTCATGCCCTATAAATTCCACTTACCCCAGGAGACACATTTACTCATCATTTAAAAAAAAATAATTGTGGTGAGCCGCAGCAGAAGAGGAAACTGATGAAATAAGTGATGTCTTTCCTTAAAGCCTCCTGATTACTATTATGACAAGCAATTATGTAATATGAGTCTTACCAGGGAATTGATGTACACTAATTCTAATCCTTAGAACATAGTCGCTATCTCCTTTTACAGATACAGAAATGGGCTCAGTGCCTATTGGTTTGCATGGTTAAGGAGTGGTCACTGATGCCACATAGACAGGGGCCCCCCTATCGCTGCACAATCATGGCTATTTAGATGGGCTTCTCCTACCCTGAGCTTAGCTCTGGCTTCGGTTGTACAGCCCACATGCCCAGACTCTCCACTTGTAGTGCCTAACTGCTCATTCCCTGTATCTCCCCACTTGCCACACCATGGTATGTTTTTTTCCTTTTTCTGATCTCTGTGGTGTGTAAAAAGAGTGGGAAAAGGTAAAGAAAGAGGGACTCTAGATGTTTGGAGAGACTAAGTGTGATTTTCCAACTTGTCCTCCAGGAAAGATAGGCTTGGCTGAGTGGTACTGGGATTGAAGTTCCTCTGAATTCAGAACAACCTGCCTGAGCCTCAGATCTAGGCGAATTGCACCCTGTATGGGTCTTAAGTGGCCTTAAGGTGCTAAAGATGTCAGCGAGCACAGTCCTGACGGTGGCCTCAGTTTGGCAGCCACTTGAGCAGTGTGCTCTTCAACAAGTTGACAAACCTTTCTAAACTTGGTATTCCACATCTGCAAAGTGTAGGAGGCATTAATAGCCATCCTATAGGCAGTTTAAGACTGATTAAACAGAGTAACATATCTGGTGACTAATCAAGTGCTAAATGCCTGTTTGTATCAATGAAAACAAAAACGTAGGGCCTGCCCCCACCCCTTGTGGCAACTGGGGTAGTATTTTCTTAATTTTTAAATACCTTCCATCTGTAAATTCACTTGAATGTAGTCAACTCCTCTTTTAGAAGCAATGAATCATGCATATATACCTCTTTGAGTACAACATGAAAAGACTTTTAGGAGAGATAGAAAGAGAGAAAAAGAGCCCCATGAGTTGCAGGCTCATGCAATTCTTTCCTAAGTCCAGGCTCTGGTTGCCCTGGGCTGGGCATAGCACTAAAGTACTAGACACTCTTAGCCAGGGTGGTCCTCACTCTTCCTTGGGGGACATTGATGCCACACCTGGAGGGTCTTGGAGGAAGAGGCCAGGGCTGCTACTCCATGCCCTATGCTGCAGAGCCCAGCGTCAGTGCTGTGCCAGGAATGCAGTCCTTGAAGAAGGCTTCCCCAGGACTTGCTGCCTGTCCTCAGGCCTGTGTGCAGGTCACAGAGCCACACTGCACAACTCTGGAATTCTCAGGGAGGCCAAAGGAACCCTGGAAGCCATGGTGATGCCGGGCATGTTTATTTTTCAGATTCGTGTGACATGAAAGCATGACAGACTCCGAAGGGCCCCAGAGACGCACACTATGTTTTCTATCTACATTGCTTTCCCAGAAGGTTCCTGAGAAGTCAGATGCTGTGCTTCGCTGCATGATTTCTGGTAATCATCCCTAGACTAGCTACTCATCTTGCACCACCTACTGCCGACCAGATTATGTGGCTTAGAGGGCATTATGAAAGCATCATTTAGGAAAATTACCTTGGAAGTTTATTCTGAGTAATCAAGCAATTATATCCTCTATGATTTTTGGCTTTTGAGTGACTTCCTGGATACCATTTAGTAATTTTCCTCATTTCGTGTTGGGGTTCTCAGACAACTCTTACACTGGTTAATTTTTCACATAAGCTCTTCTTTATTTCCTGTGATACACAAGAACGGCATGAGTACCTTCACTCAAGAAGATGAATTGGACTCTTGTGTTATTCTTTAACTGATAACCACAGACTGGCTAAATTTGTCTCCTGCTGCTCGCCTTCCTCAGGCATGCTAGTATATGGTAGAAAGGTTAAGACTAGGACAAAGGTCAACCAGTGGACCAAGAGCCAAGAACTTGAATTTCCTCTGCTGAAGGAACACATCATTCAGAGTGGATCAGGTACCCAAGAGGGCAAAAAAGTATGATCATTAAAAGAAAATAAAATCCCAGTGATTGGATAGGCAAATAGTATCTCGTCTGTTATGGGTGAGTCTCCATTCTTTCTTAGCTCATGGCTCTACCTTGAGAATGTGAAGACACCAGTGATGTTTCCTGAGGGCAGACAGAAAACTCTTGCCCCCTAATTTTCCTTTTCTAGGTTCAGAGAGGAGAAGAGCCAGCACTGGCAATAGCTGCTTTTATTAGTGGAAGTTATATCAAAGCCCATCTTGGGCCTGGATACTGGAGTGCCCAATCACGCATGCAGCCTCACACCCAGGATAGCTTTCTCTACTCTTCTCTATGCCATCCAGACAGATGGAGAGACCCATGTTGGCCTTGGGTCTTTAGACAGAGCCCTGTGTGTTTAGAAAACCCTGACTTGGGCTGCCATTCCTGCACACGTTAGCCAGATCATTCTGAAACATTTGGATGATGGCTCTCAATATGTAACTTGCAAGGAAACTCAGGATACAGAGGGAGGAAAAGCTGAGGATGCAAGGCAGTGGTAGAACACTTGCCTAGTATGTGCAAGGCCTTGGGCTCAATTCTGAAACACCGCACACACAACAAAACACGAAATACTAAAAAACAAGGGGAAACAGGTGAGGTTTCCAGCAAGTGTAGGGAGAAAAGAAAACCACCCACAAGGCCTGAAATACCACTTCCCTGTGTAAGTCTCATTTCTGTATGATGCTTCAGATCTATACTACACAAAGGAAAAAAACTGTCAGCTATTAAGAAACTAAGGGGCAGAGGAGATCAATCAGCCCTGATCAGAACAAACAACTGGAGTTCAGGAGGCCAGAATGAATTCCCCTGTAGCAGCTTATGCATTACTGTATTTGTACTTTCTTCAAAAAAGTCATGTGTACATAAAAGGAGCAATTAAAAGCTTCCTCAGTAGGACTCTAGTAAACATTGACTAAGTGGGGTCACAATGCTGAAAAGTACAGACAGGAATGAGTAATGATCAGTGAGCTTTTTGGTGGGTTTTAGGGAAGTTTATTTAGAATGCTTTAGTCACTCGCCCACCTGTAAGGGTCGGGCAAGCCTCTGCTGGAGAGGGATGTGTCTGTGCCTGTACCTGAAGTCTTCTCTCCTAGCCCCAGGCACAGCTAACCAGGCAGCCACTTGGAGGAGGAAGCAAGGGGAAAGAATGCGCAGCTGCCCAAAAGCACTCTCATGGCACTGTCACAGAGAGAAGCAGGGAGAGCAACTCTGATCTGTGCCATGCACCCCCTGGCTTTTCTTTGTCACCTTCTGGATGGACCTCTTTTAGCTTTCCCCCTCCTATGGCCTCAGAGGAGTAGGGAGTCCTTATCTTTGTGGTCCCTGGAGTTGTTTGCCAAACAACTTACGGCATAACACAAGAATATTCCTGGGGTGGACTAAGTGTGGTGCGTTGTCTCCAAATAGTGGGCTTTTGTCCTTGAATAGGTGGCATAGTTGGATAAACTGGATAAGTTTGGCTATTTGGATAAATTCTCGGTGACATGAAGGCTAGTGAGAAAGCTCTCCAGGACACATTAGAAATTTTCCTAGCCTGTAATAGAAGGGAAAAATTCCTAAGGGGTGGATGAAATTTCTGGGGGTTTAAAAAGGGATGAACTGCTTCTGAAGGAGAAAATGTACATCAGTTTCCCTCATCACATTAATCTCATACATGTGCACAACCTTGGGGAAATCTGCACACCCAATTCCTTCCTCCCCAGGTAGAAAATGCCTCTTCTGTTTTTCTAATTCATCTTGTCCTTTCGCATCATGACCTACGCTCAACTTGGAGCACATTGGTTTCCGTTGGAAGTGTGAAATTGACATTTCAAGCATTTCATTCAACTTATTAATTGATGAGGGAACTACAAAATATTAAACTGTGAGAAGCTAGGTATGTACATGCTATTGCATAGTATTAGAATCAAATTGTTAGGTTAGGTGCAATACTGTTTAATGTCTTATTGGGCAGTAAACAACCGATGGGGTTGTCTTTTCTACTAGCTAGAAATGATTTGGACCTCTATTGGATGAAAACACACAATTTAACATACAACTTCACTAAAACTTGGACCTATTTTTAAAGAGAGAGAGAGAAAAAAAACAAATACCAAGAACAAAGACAAAAACAAAGCACTTTACCATAATAAAAGTGGTATAAAATTTCAAAACAAAAACAGGAAATTAACAATGGTTGTTATATTAATCTTGGACTTTTAGTCGGTAGCAATCATTGAGTGAAATCAAGTAGATTCCCCAAGATAATTCATAAATGATCCTTTTTTCCAGATGACATTGAATAAGGGTTTTTTTGTTTTTTTTTTTTTTTTCTTCCTCGAATGCCTTCAGGGCACTTTTGGCCAGCGGGAGAGTTGTGAGGTTCGAACTCCAGCAACCTCAGGCTGACAGCTTTGTGGAAGCAGCCACTTAAAGGACTGAGCTAGGGCCAGGCCCCCCCAGATGACATTGAAAAAAGATACCTTCAACATCTTTGCCTATTGAACAAGTTTTCTTGAATTGAGACAGCATTTTTCATTTTATGTTCCCACTTCCTAGCACAGCACTATCCACCAGTATGTAACATGCCCAACTGTGTTTACTAAATCCCACATTTGTATCTGTGAGAGGAAGCTTTTTAATTCCCAAACTGACATAACCCATCATACTCATCCTTGTTCCTTACTGTCTGTTTTTGTTCATAAATTTGTACCTTTCTCTCAAAATACTTAAAGTAATAAGGATATTCTTAAATCTTTATTATCAGGTCAGCCCAAGCCAGAGGTCACCTGGTATAAGAATGGTCAAGCCATAGACGAGTGTGGCATTGCTTCCAGTTATGAATTCTTTGAGAATCAGTATATTCATGTGTTACATCTCTCTTGGTAAGTGGATTTGCCCTTGTGCACTATTTCTTTGACATTCTCTGAAGTTTTTTTTTTTTTTTTGGTGGAATCCAGGATTGAACTCAGGTCCTTGCCCTGGCCAGGGAAGCACTTATTCCTCTGAGCCATCTCCCTGGCCCTCTTTGACATTCTCTACTCCATCATGTGCTGGTTTTTACAAGGGAAGGCCAAAAGATTGGCTTCTGACATCCTAACTTTCAACGCTATTGGCAGGCATCAGCCGAGGCGTGCCGCAATGTCTATAGTTGGCCTTTGTACCTGCAAGTTCCACATGTACATAAAATACTTCTAAAGCTTGCATTTGGGTTGAACCTGTGCAGACTTTTCCCTTGTCTTCATTCCATGACCAATACAGCATAGCAGCTGTTTACATGGCCATTGTATTAGATATTGGAAGTAATTTGAACATGATTTCAATTAGAGTGGAGGAAGCATGTTAAGGTAGATGAAAATACTATGTGCTTTTGTATGAGACTTGACCATCAGCAAGGCTGGGGGTATGCAGTGACCAATTTCCCTGGTTTATTATTTATATTTGCTGACCTCAGTAACACTTCTTTAATTTAATTTACTGCTATTGATGGTTTATTATTATTATTATTATTATTATTATTATTATTATTATTATTGTATTGTATTTAGAACAGAGTTGACAGGGTCTACAGGGTCTCACTGAGTAGATTGGATTTATAGTGATCCTTCTGTTTACAGCCTCCCAATTGCTGGGATTACAAGTGCATGCCACCAAGCCCAGTCTTACTTGCTGTCTCAAGATTGAACCCCCAGCCCCTGTGCTCTGCCTGAGCAGGCTCTTTAATCCACAGAGCTATTTAGCTGGCCCAATGGTGTTTTGTTTGTTTTTGTTTTTTTTGCAGAACCGGGGATTGAACTCAGGCCCTTGCGCTTGCCAGGCAAGCGCTTATGCTACTGAGCCATCTCCCTGGCCCTCAATGGTGTTTTAAATGTTATTGAGGTGGTGTTTTAAATGTTTCACTCATTAGGTGAGCTTTTCGCTTCATCTTGCATCTTCTGGAGAGTTAAGAAGTGAGATATGATCTCAACACTGTCATCCAAACTTCGCGTGTGTAGGAAGGAAGGAAAAAGTGACTGACATCCTACCACAGAAAATTGGTGATGGAATTTAGGCTAGAAAACATACTTTTCAGCTTTATTTTAGGAAGAGTGGTGGACCAGTACAGTGTTTCCTAAGTCTTTTCTGTTTCCCCAGGACCTACTTGTTTCAATGAAATTAGGAAGCTCAACCACGTGGAGAAAACGAGAACTGCTCTGACTGCAGTGTGGCAGGGAGCCTGTGCCCTCGGTTCTAGTGTTACTGAGTTGATCTTGTTGTCCTTCTAGGGCTCCAAGAAGCTGGGGAAACAACAGACACTGCATGAAAATGACTGCTAGTCAGGAGCCTGTGACAGTAGTCTTGGGTCTAAGAATAAGAACATTGTACAAGCACCATACACCAATCATTTTGCTAACTGCCAGAGATGGAGGTGAATAACATAAGCATTGTCCACATGTTCACAAAATTTCCACTCTAGCGTGGAAGAAAGGTGGTGAGCAAATCAATACACCTTTTTACCTCACTATGCCAATATGCCTAGGAGGCAGCTACATTGGCATTTGTGCCCCATAAGTGTGGCTTGGACTTTCCTGCCTCTTTGTTCTGATTTTTCCAAGGCCTAAGCTCATTCAGCTTAGAATCTGCCTCTGCTCTTCATGGGCAATTCCAGATATTCATAGGCTGAAGTGGGAAAGACACTACAGGAATGAGAAACTTAGGAGGGAACTTACACTATGGAGGGGTCAAGAAGTCACCATGGTCTCCTCTGAGGCCCAGCAGAGCAGTGGCATTTGTAAAACTAGAATATATTGCTGGGTGTGGTAGTACACACCTGTAATCTTGCCACTCAGGAGGCTAAGGCAGGAGGATTTCTACAAGTTCAAAGCCAGCCTGAGCTACATAGTGAGTCTAGCCTGAACTACATAGGGAGGCCCTGTCATAAATAAATAAATAAACAAATAAATATTCAACTCCACTCTTTCTAAGCTCTAGGCCTGCCATTCTGAGAAGAATTCAATCACAGTGCAAGACATGATGATAAGGCAATATGACAATATATACTTTGCTGCTTCACAAAGCAGCGATGTATATAATGGTGCTTATAATTAACAGAGATCTTTGAAAGTTCTGACTTTTCACACAGATAGTTCTGAAGTGGAGCTGCCCATTGGCATTGCCTGGAGAGGTTTCAGTCTCAGTAACATTTGATTTAATCTCAGTAACCACTGATTAATTAAATGTGAGCCCCAGGTGAGTCGAGTGTGTTGTCCAAGATGAAAAATGTTCTGCACCCTAAACTTTCATCAACAATGTAAATAGAGTTATACAAGTATTCTAAGTGACAGGGAAATGAATGGAATTTTAAGTAAGTGAATTTCAAAGATCTTAAGTTAGTCATTAGTTATATTAGTCTGAAGTTTTCCTGCCATTCTGAATATATCATAAACCACTGGATTAGCTTGCAGCCTGATGAACAGTACTTTCTTTATCTACCTGACTTCTGGCTTTGAGTCATTACAGATGAGCTCTCATATAATTGAAAGTACTGTTTCTCTGCTTCTCAAAAGCTCTTTTGAGTTTGGCAAATCTCAGCCGCAGTTTTCCTTTGAGGCTAAGAGCACTGTGGCTGTATTTATCAACCTTTGGTGTTTTTGTCTTTGCTTTTCACGGTGACATCTGTTCCCTGCCCTCCCCACATTCTCCCTCTCTCACCACTCTTCTTGGGAGAGATGTCATTGCTGCTGTAACCCTTGCTGCAGGTCAAGGATGCTTGGCAGGAAGGAGAAGTAGACAGCCAAGAAAGCCCTTGAAGGAAGAGAGGCATCAATCCTAACACTAAGGTCTGCACTGAGGCTGGAAAAAAGCTTTAGTCTTTAATTGAAAAGATGTGGGAGTTGGGAGGCAGGGAGGGAAATGCAAATACATGTTTTCTACCTCATAGTGAAAGTAAATGGCACTAATGTGTGTGCAAATGGGGAACTGTGGTCTCTTATGAACAGTTTAAAGAAAGGCAACAAAGCAACAGATAAAAATCTGTCTGAGAACCCACACCCAGAGAGATAGACCCCTTGCCACAGTTTGAAGGCCTCTTTTGAAGATCACAGTCATGCCCTGCTCTCCTGAGGCAGGAGGGAAGGAGGGAGGAAGGGAGGTAGGAAGGGAGGGAGAGAGTGAGAGAGAGCCAGAGAGAGAGAAAACAGATTACAAATGAGGTGGCAGCAGCAAAGCTCAGCTTGTGCCTGCGTCAGAGCTGAGCGAAGCACTGTCCTTCCCTTTAGAGCTTGTCAGCTCTGCCTGGCCGCAGCTGAGCTTGTTCAGCCCCTTCTGAGTGCTCAGTGTGGATGATGGCCAGGAGAACAGCAGCCACTGCCAGCCAATCTGCTCAGAGTTGAGTAGAATCCCCTCAAGAATGAATGGTTCCTGGGGAACCTCCACATGTGACCTCATTTGACAACAGCATTGTGCAGGTGTGATTACTTCAATTGAGTTCATATTTGATTAGGGTGGGTCTATGCTTTCCAACCTGCCCCAAATTGGGTATTAGCTTTCTATCACTATAACAAAATATCTGAGATGATCAAGTTATAAGACGAGCAGCTCATATATTTCTTAGGCTTATAGTTTTAGTGTTCCATGCCATGGTTTGTTGGTTCCTTTACTTCTGAGCCTGCAGTAGGGTTGAATATCAGTGGAAGCACATGATATAGCAAAACTCTTCACCCTATGGCCAGTGAGCAAATGATAGCAAAGAAGGGGTGGAGTCCCTCATTTCCCATCAAGGGAAATGACAACCTAAAACCTCCCTTAGGCCCCCTCATCTCCAGGGTATGACCATCTCCCAGTGGTGCTGTAAGCTGGAGACCCAGCCTGTAACATGTGGATTTCTAGAAGGAATTGGTATTAAAGCTTTTGAAGGAAAAATCAGAAAGGCTTCCTGGGTCACTTACCATTTACCCCCGCAGGAGACATTAGACAGTATCTAGAAATTCTTTTCCTCCTTTTTTCCAGTACTAGGGCTTTACCCAAGGCTGAGCTACCACGGCCCTTTTTTTTTTTTTTATGTTCAGACAAGGTCCCATTAAGTCACTGCCCAGGCCAATTTGAATTCACAATTTTCCTAACTCAGCTTCCTGGAGAGGTGGGATTATAGGAGTGTACCAGGCCACTCAGCTCTGGAAACTTCTCTGATAGTCATAACGGGAGATATAGGACACCCATACTGGCAACCAGAAGGTAGAGGTCAAAGATGCTGCTAAACACTGGACAATACATAGGACAGCCCTTCACAATAAAGCATTATCCAATGTAAAATGTCAGGAGCACTGATGTTGAAAAACTCAAAGACCCACATAACCGAGGACCTTGCCAGCACCTGATTTATTTCTGCTGATCCTGTGAGCCTGCTGCTGGGTTTCTACTGGCTTTGTCTGACTCATTAACACTCATCCATGCTACCATCACCAGTTTGAGGATTGGCAGAGGCACAGGGTCCAACACGATTTCAGTGACAGGTCTGGTGCTGGGTACTGCTGGCTGAAAGCCTTCACTGCTGTCCTTTCTCTGGGCTTTCGTCTTTCCAGAGGTGGGAGCAGTTTCCTTAGAGGGTTGTCCTGGGAAGTGATCCAATGATACAGAGCTGTGTGGCAACACCAAACTTGCCACAGGCTGTTGGGCAAAGTAAGCCTCAGGGAAAAAAGAAAGAGGCAAAAGAAGAAAAGAGAGCTATCTCTTAAAGAGAGAAAGGAGGGCCAGAGAGGTAGCTCAGTAGTCTAAGCACTTGTCTGGCAAGTGCAGGGATCTGAGTTCGATCCCTGGCACTGAGAGTCATGCTGGCCCTGCCCCAGGCATGCCCAGCCAGCCACCTGAGACCAGGTGTGGTAGCACAAGCCTTCAATTCCAGTGCTGGGAGGCTGAAACACGAGGATCACTACGAGTCTGAGCTACAGAGCGAGACTCTGCACAAAATACATGAGAAAAAAAAAAAAGGAGAGAGAGAAAGGAAAAGTCACATGGTAGCAAGGGGTATATACTCAGAGGGCAGGAGTTAGTAGCCAAATTTTGTGATTTAGTACATCCTCCATCCATGGAAGACCTAATCTTTTAAATCACTTGTAATTATTCTGCTTAAACAACAAAGCAAAATCCAAACTATCACACCATGTATGGCTACCTCTTGCCTATAGGATAATTTTCTCCACTTTTAATCGACTCATTTATTCAATAAACATCAAGAGCACATGATATGTTCTAGTTGTAGTACCAGTGAAAGGCGCATAGTCTTCTGGGTGCCGTAGTCCAGTAGAGGAAACAGGTGAAAAGAAGGGGGCATTTGTCGGAGAGACTGTAACACAGACAGGAGGGTTTCAGCTGGTTTGCTCACACATGTCTATACTCACAGCCACATTCAGGTCATTTTTAGAAGGTGGAACCTGTGACTTAGGTCATGTCTCAGCCTGTCCTGTTATTCCTCGTTGCTGGCTGGGTGGACATGCCCTAGGGGCCTCAGGACATGCTGTTACGTTCCTGAGGCTCCTGTGGTCAGAATGCTGGTTGTCCGTGCGTGTTATGTGTGCTGAAGGCTTTGTCCTGCCCTGAAAAACCATCAGCATCTTTTCTATATGTGATCACTCAAGGAAACCTGCCAGACATCTGGAAAACCTGAATCATTAGCTGTGACTGAGAATGGGCAGGTGAGGACCGGTGACTCAATGATATTCTTCCTGGAAGAAAAATGTGCAAAATACACTCATTCTGTTAATGGCAGGACTGTCACCATCACTGCAAGGGATGAATATTATTTCTTCCATTGAGAGAAGAATCTGAAGCAGGTTGTTCAAAATTTAAATCCCAAGTCTACAAATCTGTATCGTCCTAGGCAAGTGCCTTAACCTCTCTGTTCCTGAGGACATCTGCTTTATAGGGCTATTGTACAGACCACATGAACACATTCAAAAAATTTAGACTATGCAACAAATAAGAGCTATTTCATGTGCTTTCACTATGTTCCCTGCACAGAACTATAGTTTTGGAGTGAATTAAAATAGGACAGATTGGATGTAAGATAGGTAGCATAGATTGGCAACATTTTCCATCTCTGTTATTTTCTTCTTGGAAGTAAAATATAATTAACATATCGGATCAGAGACTCACTGCATACAAATAAAGATGACTAAATTTCGCTATGTGCTGGCTAAGCCAGTACTGCTCTTCATCCAAGGCTGGAAAGCATTTTGTGAACTTTGTGTTCTGTGAGCTTAAGTAGGTGTAAGAAGTCTTAAGGATGACTGGTAGAACTTTCCGGCACCAGGAAGGCCTATGTGTCCCAGCACATGGCTAAGGAGGGCTCTAGTGGCATTCTTCCTGAATGAATTTAGCAAGGCATTGCTCATTCCGTGCCAGAGCCCTACTTGACCAGGTTCCGACGGTCTGACGGGAAACTCTCACTTAGTCTTCAGGTTGATCAGTCCCTTCTGAGAATTCACGGCTTGTCATCACACGCTACTTGTGACTTTAATAGGTGATTGTCTCAGAGCAGAATGGTCATACACAAACCATGGGATACTTAATCATCTTTTCCTGGGGACAGGAATTTGGTGGCTGTTCCCCCTGCTGTGCTGATCCCTTGGAGTAAATTACTCTAATCTTGGGTGGAAATAGATCCAGGAGCTTTCCCAAGACCTTGAGATAGCCAGGGTGTTCCAGTCACCTGAGACTGGACTCATGCTGACGGTCTCAAACTGACACCTTCTGAGGACTGGGAACAGACTGGGAATATTAAGATTGCCTAGCAAGGTTCTTGAACCTACACTGTGAACAGAGTCCAGGTCAGATGCTCTGGAGAATTGAAATGATGGGCCTCTTGCCAATGTAGGAACCATAGCTTTTCTGACTATTGCTAAGCTACCCGACAAAGGGAGGTTGTGTTTGGGGCACAGTGGGGGCCAAATCAGTTCTGGAAGTTCCTACAAAGGCTTTGTGGAGTGGAGACAGGACTAAGAACCAGTTTTCTTGATAGCTCTATTTGGTACCCTTTACATACACAACTGTGGGCATCTCATGAGGGCCCTTGACCCCCACCCCCCACCTTTGTACATTCACCTCTGCAAGCATCTCCTGCCCCGAGTTCCACTCCTTGCCTTGTTCTGTGACCTACTTTTGCCTTATACCCATGCCTTTCTCATAGCCCATCTCTGAGCTCTAGCACTTTGAGGTTCTGCTTTGCGCTGTCCTCTGAGTCTACCTGGGAAGCGAGGCCAAGACTCTGCCCCCTCTGGTGCCTCTCCAGACCATACCCACCATCACGTTATATTATTCCCTACTTATTATAGTCTGATCAGCAAATGCAATCTCCCAAATGAGCTGACAATGACGGCTTAAATACATGAAATGAATAAAATGACTTTAGGGCTCCAGAAAGATCCAAACCCTCAGACAGAATTTGCAACTCTCTGGGTTAAGACCAAGAACTTTTCTAGGAAGCCCATATTTATTGTGTTATCAAAGGAAGGAGGGGAATACTGAAGAAAATGCAGAAATCTGGGAAGAACTTGGGAATCCTTCTAAGGATTCTCCAAGAAAAACATCATGTTACTTTAGGAGAATTCTTATCTCCGGGAAGGCCTTCACTGCAGGAGTGAGAAGCCTGCAGCTACAGTCTCTTTTTAGTTAACCGGAGTTGGAGCCAAATGTCTTTAGCAGAGGCCTTATCTTGTCCTTTGAGGCTTCCCAACTGTACAGGCCTATACATGCCTCAGTAGGGACCAGGCACTCAGAGGTTCACTCACTGTATGTCTGTTGCCCTGAGCCTTATGCAAACTCACAAGTAAACACAAAAAGTCAGTTGTTAATATTAAATCCTGGAGGGAGGCCGGGCGGCGGTGGCGGCTGAGGGGGAGGGGGAGGGGCCGCGGGCGGGCGGAGGGCGCGGGCGGGCTGAGGAGGCGGCTGCCGGGACGCCTAGTCGGAGCCCGCAACGTTCACCGCCCGTGCTCGTCCCTCGTGCAGGCCGGGCCGGGCGGAGGCTCCATGTTGGGAAGCGGCGCCGATCGCCCTCTTTAGCGGGAACCGGGGCGCCGCGGGCTGAGCCGGCGGGGGCCGGGCCGGAGCGAAGATGGAGGCCCCGCTGCGGCCTGGCGCCGACATCCTGAGGCGGAATCCGCAGCAGGACTACGAGCTCGTCCAGAGGGTCGGCAGCGGCACGTACGGGGACGTCTACAAGGCCAGAAATGTACACACAGGAGAATTAGCTGCAGTAAAAATTATCAAGTTGGAGCCTGGAGATGATTTTACTCTAATTCAACAAGAAATATTTATGGTTAAAGAATGTAAGCACTGCAACATTGTTGCCTATTTTGGGAGCTATCTAAGTCGAGAAAAATTATGGATTTGTATGGAATACTGTGGTGGAGGATCACTTCAAGATATTTACCATGTTACTGGACCATTGTCAGAATTGCAGATAGCCTATGTATGCAGAGAAACTTTACAGGGACTTGCTTATTTGCATACTAAAGGCAAAATGCATAGAGATATCAAAGGTGCAAATATTTTATTGACAGACCATGGTGATGTAAAATTAGCTGATTTTGGTGTAGCTGCAAAAATAACCGCTACTATTGCAAAGAGAAAATCTTTCATTGGTACTCCTTATTGGATGGCCCCAGAAGTGGCAGCAGTGGAGAAGAATGGCGGCTACAACCAGCTCTGTGATATCTGGGCAGTAGGAATAACAGCCATTGAACTTGGAGAGCTTCAGCCACCTATGTTTGATCTTCATCCAATGAGGGCTCTCTTCTTAATGTCAAAAAGTAATTTTCAGCCTCCAAAATTAAAGGACAAAACAAAATGGTCATCAACATTCCATAATTTTGTCAAAATAGCACTAACTAAAAACCCAAGAAAAAGACCAACTGCTGAAAGACTTCTGACTCATACTTTTGTTGGACAGCCTGGCCTCTCTAGGGCCCTCGCAGTTGAACTGTTGGACAAAGTAAACAATCCAGACAACCACATACATTACGCTGAAGGAGATGACGATGATTTTGAGCCCCATGCCATCATTCGCCATACCATCAGATCTACAAACAGGAATGCCAGAGCTGAGCGGACGGCTTCAGAAATAAATTTTGACAAATTACAGTTTGAACCTCCTCTGAGAAAAGAAACAGAAGCCCGGGATGAAATGGGAATGTCATCAGACCCAAACTTTTTATTACGGTGGAATCCTTTTGTTGATGGTGCAAATACTAGCAAATCAACCTCAAAACGTGCAATACCACCTCCCCTGCCTCCTAAGCCAAGGATAAATAGTTATTCTGAAGACAGCTTCCCAGATGAAGAAAAATCATCAACAGTGAAACGTTGCCCTGATTCAGATAACAGAGCTCCCCAACTTCTGAGAAGACAGAGTAGCCCAAGTTGTGGTCTTGTAGCTGAGACTTCCTCTATGGGAAATGGTGATGGTATCTCAAAACTAATTAATGAAAATACAGAAGGATCAGCACAGGCACCACAGTTGCCACGGAAAAAGGACAAGAGAGACTTCCCTAAACCAGCCATCAATGGTCTTCCACCCACCCCAAAAGTCCTGATGGGAGCATGTTTTTCAAAAGTTTTCGATGGCTGCCCCTTGAAGATCAATTGTGCAACTTCTTGGATACATCCTGATACAAAAGATCAGTACATTATTTTTGGAACTGAAGATGGTATTTACACATTGAACCTCAATGAACTACATGAGGCAACTATGGAACAGTTGTTTCCACGGAAGTGTACTTGGCTATATGTTATCAATAATACTTTAATGTCATTATCAGAAGGAAAAACTTTTCAACTCTACTCTCATAATCTTATTGCTTTGTTTGAACAAGCCAAAAAACCAGGATTAGCTGCCCATATTCAAACTCATAGGTTTCCAGACCGCATACTGCCAAGAAAGTTTGCTTTGACAACAAAGATTCCTGATACAAAAGGGTGCCACAAATGTTGCATAGTCAGAAACCCTTACACGGGACATAAATACCTCTGTGGAGTTTTACAGTCTGGAATTGTTTTACTTCAGTGGTATGAGCCAATGCAGAAATTCATGTTGATAAAGCACTTTGATTTTCCTTTACCAACACCTTTGAACGTTTTTGAAATGCTGGTGATACCAGAACAAGAATACCCTATGGTGTGTGTAGCTATTAGTAAAGGCACACTGAATCAAATCAAGTAGTTCAGTTTGAGACAATCAATTTGAATTCTGCATCTTCATGGTTTACAGAAATTGGTGCAGGCAGCCAACAGTTAGATTCCATTTATGTGACACAATTGGAGAGAGATATTGTTTTAGTGTGTTTAGACAAATTTGTAAAAATTGTAAATCTACAAGGAAAACTAAAATCAAGTAAGAAACTGGCCTCTGAGCTAAGTTTTGATTTTCGCATTGAATCTGTAGTCTGCCTTCAAGACAGTGTGCTTGCTTTCTGGAAACACGGAATGCAGGGTAAAAGCTTCAAGTCAGATGAGGTCACCCAGGAGATTTCAGATGAAACAAGAGTTTTTCGCTTATTAGGATCAGACAGGGTTGTAGTTTTGGAAAGCAGACCAACAGAAAATCCGACCGCACACAGCAATCTCTACATATTGGCTGGACATGAAAATAGTTACTGAGCAACAGAAACTGATCTCAACTGACAGGAAGATGAATTTATAAATTTAATGGAAGCAAAAATACTTTAAGGAAATCCAGTATAGACTGCACTATGATTTGCTTTAACTCTATGGGTTATATCTCAAATGATCTGTACGGTAGGATAGAACTCACTTTTCTGTAGCTGGAAACAGCTAGTCTATCTCTCGCCACGATGTGGTGGTTATATCAAGTTTGCTTAATAAAAGCTATGAGATGAATAGTCCTCTAGTTCCAGGAAACAGTCTTTTTTTAAAAAAATAATGTTTGTACCAAGGGTGCCATGGTATTTTTAGATAATTCATGAGATAAATTTAGTGACCATTTTATCATTTTATACCATGTTGTATTCCTTCTTAACAATTTGATAAACTTTCAAACCTTTCTCTTTTACATTGGCCATTCTGTGTGTTTTTGTAAAATACAATATTTAATCCTTATTTATTAATCTCTTGCTGGAGTGGTGTAATGTATCTAACTTTTAGCAAAGGAAGGTTGCAGAGCAGCTTACATTTTTTTATAATGTATAAAAATTTTGTTTACCTTTTCAGAGTAGTACTTTAGGGGTTAAAGGCAGGTGTCCTGTGGGATTCAACACATCCAGTTTCATTTAACAGGAGTATTTTATAATACAATTTCATGCAGAATTGCCTTAAATGGGAGTTTTATGCTAAGAGGTCATACAGAGAATATTGATGATGGTTGAAAAATAGCTTTAGGAGTGGTATCTATGTCTACCTGTGACTGCCATGTGTGTGTATTCTTGACAAACAGTATAATATGCCTGTGATTTTTTTTTTTTTTACATTAGGGATAATACATAAGAAATTAATCTTCATATATAATTATCCCTAAAGTAAGGAAGTATTTATCTGCCCATGTTATATATTTTATTTCTACTATGCCAGAGGGGAGATTGTAATGCAGTTACGCACGTAATCTTGGGGCTTTCACACATGTAGGTACTCATTTTGAGTATGTTTAAGAAAAATGTTTTGAATGAAAGTGAATTCTCTTGGGGATCATATAAATAAGTATTGTAAAAACCAGTATTCTAAAAATAAGAAAGGACAGGGCCATTTCTTACGCGTTTCTTTTGCTATTATTAGGCCAAAATTAAAGTGTTCTATTGGTAAAAAAAAAAAAAATATTAAATCCTGTTCAGAGCCACTTCACAGTGGTCCCCACTGCCCACACCAGACCCAAGAAACCCAAGGTAGAGTGTGGCCTATAAGAGGAGTTTGGATATGGGATGGTCTAACTGCTTCTGTGTGGCTTATGTTGGCTGGCCTAACAAAATACCATAGATTCCATATCTTATACAACAATAACGTATTCTTTACTGATCTGGAGGTTGAGAAGTCTCAGATATTGGTGAAGCATGGTCAGGGATGGTGCAGGTCTTCTTTCTGGCTTGTAGAAGGTCACCTTCACACTGGTGGAGAGACAGCAAGCTTTTCAGTGTTTCCTGTAAGGCCACTAAACCTGTCATGAGGACCTCATCTGCATGACCTCATCTAAACGCCAAAATCTTTTCAAAGATCTCATTTCCACATACCTTTGCTTGGAGGTTAGATCTTCAACATTTTGAAATTGGGGGTGGTGACACAATTCATGGCCCCAAACAGGCTAGAACCAGATCAGTGGGGGTAGACAATTCCCAGTGGTTTAGAGTCAGAGATTGGCAGTAGTTTATGAGTCACATGTGGGTACTTACAGGGCCAGCTCTGGGACAGATTTCCTAGGTTCAAGTCTTAGTCTCTTACTAAGTTAGGCTGTTCAACCTCTATCTGTCTCAGTTTCTATGTCTGCAAAGTGATAATAGTAATAGCATCTACCTTGCAGGACTGGGTGAAGATTAATTAAAGTAACATATACAAGGAAAGTTTTTGAACAGTTCCTGGGACTTAGCAAATGTTAATTAAATGGCAACTCTTTTGACCTTGTGGTTGGATTCCTGTATGTGTGTTGGTGAAGGGTCACTCTTGATCCTGAGAATGAGTGTTTGAAAGTGGAAGTGTTTGAAAGTGTATTCTCTTCTATCTTGTTTTCTTTCGTCCATATAATCCATTTTACAGAAAGTGGAATTAGGCTGTGTGGCTGAAGCATTTCAGAAAAGGTGGAGTAAAAACACATTCTGATTTTGTTTGTTTGTTTTTTGTCTGCTCTGGAGTGGTAATGTGTGACTGTTCCTTCTGGAGGTGCTAAGAAGCCAGGCTCAGGTCAGGGATATGGACTCTACCTGTGCAGGCAGGACAGATGCGAGGAAGGCGTGGGGAGGGCACTCACTCAGTCCAGTCCCAATTCTGACTCGTTACATAGTTCTGAGCCATTGCAGCGCTTAAAGATGTGACTTAGACTAGTGGCATGTCTCCCTCCAGGGCTCTGCTTGTGCTACTCAGACCTGGCATGGTCTCTATGAGGATCTCTCTATGCTGAACTCTCTTGCTTCCCTGCGGATTCTGCACTACTTGCCTTATCATGAGATCGCCTTTGGCCAGTCACTGTAGTGGCACTGCCTGCTCTCAGCGTGCCCTGATCTTCTTCGCTGGCATTACTATCCACTTAGCAGGACATGGTATATAGACTATCCATGTGTACACTATTTCTGCTGCACTTATATGGGCATATCAATGTACAGCAAACAATACATATTTAAGGCATTCAGTTTGATAAGCACTGAGACAGGGAAACATCTGTAGACCTATCATGGCCATCAAGATGATGGACACGTCTTTCTTTTTAGGATCCTTTTAAGATTCCTTGTACCCTGTTACAATCCCACCTTGCTGCCTTTCTGCCCACCTGTCTTCAAACAGGATCTGATCTGTTTTCTATTCCTACAGGTCTCCAGAATTTTTTCTAGAAATGAGATTATAGAGCGTGTTCTCTTCTATCTTTTCTTTCCTCCATATAATTATCCTGAGACTCATCCCTATTTTGTAGCATAGAGATAGTCCATCTTTTCTACTGGTAAGTGGTGTTCTAGTATTTCAGTGTCTGGTTTTTTAAAATTTTATTTTATTTTATAATTTCTTTCTTGCTCTCTTTCTTTTTATTTATTTATTTTTATTTCAGTGTTTGTATCTACTACAATTTGCTGTTCCCCTGACCTGTTGAAGGACACTTGGGTTGTTCCTAGTTGCAATGTTTATTGATTTCTAACTTTGTGTATTGTGACTGCCCGCTGACATGGGACTCACAGGAAGTGGAAGTGCCCAGGACACTGAACCCGTCTCATCTGTTGTTCTCTGCTGAACATCTAGCACCCGGCGCTGTGACCTTCTCAGTTGGCATTCAATAGAGATGGAGAAGAAGTTGCAAAGTGCCTGCAATGACTTGGTTCTTTTTTTCAGAGCTTTGCCAAGGGGAAGGCAGAGCCATTCCACCATACCTGGGCCTGGATTTGGTGGCAGACTGACCAATACTTTGAAGGTGCTGCTATTTAAGAATCTTGTTTAAGAAGACAAAATAGGGCTAGGGAGATAGCTCTGAAGTCTAAGCACCTGCCTGGCAAATGCAAAGATTCAGGTTTGGTCCCCAGTATCGCATGCTGTGCCAGTCCCCAGAACTGTGTTGGCCACTGAGACTGGGTGTGGTGGTGCACACCTGTAATCACAGTGCTGCAGCGGCTGAGACAGGAGGATCACTATCTGTTTGAACTATGTACTGAGACCCTGTACCAAACAACTAAATGCATAAAAGATTTAAAAAAAAAAGAAGACAAAATAATTGCAAAAAGCCTCTTGCAGTGGCTCCATGTTATTGGTCAGTTTTCTCATGACTGGAACCAAAGAGCTGATGCCCACACCTGGAAGGTGCAGAGGTTCAATTCAGCTCAGCTGTTGAGCAGAATCAGACCATGGTGGGCTGGGTCCAGGGCAGAAAGGCTTGGCAGAGCAAAGCTGTGGGTGAGGTGGGTGTCAGTGAGAAACATCCCTCCCAAGGTGGGCCCACAGTGACCCGCTTCCAACCAGGCTCCACTGCCTAAGAGCGCATTCAGCCATGACCCTGGGTGGATTAATCCACCAGCTACAGCCCCCCATTATTCAGTCCCTTCTCCAGGAGTCTCTGAATCCAGCCAAGTGGACAACTAAGGCTTAATTGGTGTGCTCCATTTGCATTGGTGGGATGGCCGTGCTTCCGATTATTATGTGGCTGCTCCCTTCTGTTCTTGTCATTATCCATCCTGGGCTGCTGCCGCAGCAGGTGAAGCCTTTTGCCCCAATTCCAGCTGTTCTCTGGCATCCCTAGCCCTAGCCCCGCCCTTGCCCAACGCGGAACTGCCCCCACCAGGCCCTCCTACTTTTGTGTCTGCTGCTTTGCAGTTACTCCTTCACCTACCTCTGCCCAGTGGGCACCAAGGGATGGCAAGGAGGTAGAGGCATAATGAGATGTTGGGTTGAGAAGAAAACAAAGGCAAGGAGGTCCTGACAACAGATCAGCAGGCAGAGAGAAGCAGTTAGGTTACAGCGAGTTTCCTTCCTGACATAGGTCTCTGAGCTATCTTTTTATCTTCTACTTTTTGTGCCATTGGGTGGAACTTAGGTCCTTGTGCATGCCAGTGAGCTAGACTTTGAGAGAAATGTTCTCTATTTTGCTTTTGTTTGTTCCCCTGCCTGGGTCCAGCAATTTAAAGCTATTATTTTTCCCCAGACCCTTTTTTTTTTGAGATAGGGTTTAGGAACTTTCTGCCCAGTCTAGGTTGGAGCTTGTTACCCTCCTGTCTCAGCCTCCCACCAGGCTGAGATGATAGGTGTGTGTCACCAGATCTGGCAAATTAAATTTTTTTAAAGCAAAACTGACTATTATGAGCTACAGAGTCAGTTGCATGTAAGAGCTACTTGCCAGGCACAGAGGAAAAACTCAATCCAAATTATATAGCAAATCAAGTGACAGCTGGTATTTTGCTGAGAATTTAATGAGGAGACTTTTGCTTTCCATAGAATAGCTGGTGTCACAGAGCTGGAAAGGACTCTTAGGACTTGCTCCTTGATGTTGGACATCAGCATCCTCAGGGAGCTTGTTAGAAAGGCAGAATCAATCTCCAGTTGCAGGCCAAGCCAATCCAAGCCTGTACTTTAATGAGCTCCCTGGGGGTTAGTAAGCTGCCTGACGCATGAGATGCCCTACTGTAAAGATCAGTCCACTCCAGGATACA